CCTTAATATTTAGTTATATAGGTAAGGGTTAGACATTCGACGATTGTATGAAGTTCCTCTCAATAAATAGCCATTCATTAAAAGTCTAACTCTCTAAAATTTTGTTTTGTTTGTTTTTGTTCATTATTTCGGTTTCACCTCTTTTTCAATTGAATGGTAGAGCAAAAATGTCTATCCCTTTTTGCGTATGTATGGCAAGTTATTATTTTATATATGCATATTAGGGCGATCCTTAAATGTAGGGAGCACATTTTTATATGTGATTTCCTAAGACTAAACATTTAAATTTTTGTCCCGATTAGAGACGGCTAAGGCGTGTCGCACAGTAGGCAAAATTCAGATTACTCAATAACACGTCTGAACCAATCGGGGCCAAAATTTGTATGTAATATCTTCGACTTTAGTAGTATCGATTTTGGTTATTACTTAATAGAAAAAAATATTTTTAAATTTTTAAGTCTCCTTGGAGCATCTGGCCTTGAACCCCATTGCGACAAGTCTTAACCGACTCCAATCGGTAGCAAAATTTACATGTGATACCTTCGACTACGGTAGTATCGATTTTGGGTATGAGTTGACAAAAAAATTAATTTGTTTTTTTGTTATTTTATGGCCTTATAACAATTATGTACAAGAATTTTTATTGAGCTTGTGGCCTTTTTTTAATGAGAAACTTATTGTGGAAAAGCAACTTATTGTCAAAAAAATTAATTTTAATTTTTTTAGTCTCTATAGAGGAATCTGATCTTTTGCCGCTGTGCGACACGCCTTAACCGTCTCCAATCGAGACCAAAATTTGTATGTCATATATCTGTTACCGTAGTATTACCGATTTAAGGGGTGAGACTGAAAAAAATCGCTCATTTCATTTTTAAGGACCACCCTAATGCATATACGTACGTGTACTTATCCACAATAAATTGTTTTATTATATCTAACCGAAATATTTACCTTGCCAACCTTTGCTGTTTATTAAACAAACAAAAGAGTAGGATAAGCAAATAAAATGCCAGAAATTGCCAAAATTGCAAACGATGAAAATTGCAAAGTAATTGATAATGTCAAAGGTGGCAACACGGCAATAGGCAGCCATAAGCTAGTAGCGCAACCAGTAATCAATACACGTACCAACAATAGTGAGCCAGCCGCATGACAAGCCAACGACGGAGCAGGTGTTGTGTGTGCTTGCTTACCGACTATCAAATACATAGGTACAAACTGAACCGCATACAAATTTTGTAATATAATACGTTTGTACAAAAGTTCAAAGGGCTGCATAGTTAAACAAATACCAATAAATGTTGCTTCCAATGCATACATACAAGCTAAACAAATCTGTGTGGAAAAGCGAAATGCCTGAAAATACCATAAAAAATTCCTCTCATATTTTGCCTATTCGTTGTGCCACGTGACACCTAAACCCATCATATGTATGTACGTATGTACATAGAGTATTTTTGTTAGTGTTTTGGTATCATTGGTAGCGAATATGTTACCGAAAAATTCGATTTTTCTTTTGTTTTAATGGCGTTTATACCTACATACATATTTGTGTTGGCAGACGAGTATATTTATTTAACTTGAATTCAAAAACTATTTTTATTTGTTATTTGGAATATTTTTGAACACTTTTAAAGTCATTTAAGCTTTGTGTACGTGTAGCCTTTAAAACCACTCACACCAGGAGCAAGTATGCATCAGGCTACTAATACCACACTACTCAGTATCTAAGCATTCGGGTAAATTGAACTGTAAACTAAAACAACAATATTATATACTAAATCTGAACACTAAAGAGCCATATTAAATATATACAGAGATCATTACCGCTGTGTTCACTGTGTGAAATGTAGTAGCAGCAGTTGAAATCAAAAACAGATCGTAATAGCCAAGACTCAAAGATAACTAAATAATGCGAAGCCTCACAGACTACAGACAGAAGAAATATACGTTTTATTATGCAAAAAAAATGCTCAAACAATTCGAACAAAGGCTCAAATTTCCAGCCTAAATACAATGTGCATATGGCGGAATAGAATATCACAACCGCATCGTGCTTAAGTAGAAAATGGCCAATATAGGGGGTAGCTGAACCGAGAATCTTAAAGGACAGTTATTCGAATTGCTCAAGTTACGCTAAGATACCTGGGTCAGCGCCATTTTTTCTCGAAATGTTTGTTTTGATGTAGAAACGCTCCACGAGTATCTAGATGCATTTTTGCATCAAAAATAAAATTTTTAAAAAAATATTGCTTACGTTCTTTTGGCAGTTAGGGCTCGAAATGTTTTCGTTCAAAAAGATATGTCATTCAGTGAGGGACTTCAGTTTGTCTGCTATATGCGTGAGTCTAAAGCTGTCAGGACTGCCTTCAACGTATCTTTTTAGATATTTGCGGAAACTTGTTGGCATATTTATATTGGACGCTATCTTGGCCATAACTAGGCAAATGTTGACTTTCAAGGGCTCCAAAGTTTGCGGTTTATATGGGCATTCGAGTAGTCTCATAAAAACATTCAACCGAGCCAAGTCGGATGATCTCAGAGGCCAAATGACATTCCCTCTGCGTGCAACTATGCGCCTGATAATCCGCTGTTGCAATGGAGCGTATCCCTGACACTGTGAATGGTCAGAATCATTCAGTGGTTTTGTGTAATAAACCTTATATGGGCGGAGATGTATATCTAAATGAAAATAATTTATTATGTGTCATTAGACAGTACTAAGTTATTAAACTGACACGAAATCGACAAATTTGTGTTTTCGGCCACACTTTTAGTTGAAACCCTAATTGTTAGTTTTTGAAAATTTTTAAATCTTCTTTGTTCATTTGCAATTATATTTGTTGAGTATACCGTTATATCTTACTAAAATGTTTATAAAACTGTTAAAAACGAGCCATTCTCTTGGGGTGTTCGAACCAGTCATATGATAATAAGTAATCATTCGCAATTTCCTTGTACGTGAAATAAAGTTTTACAACCGGTTGGGGTAAGGTTTAACCCCTACCCCCCTTTGTGCTCGCCGCTACTGAATTCTATAAAATGTCAGTTTTCACGAATTTTAAAATGTACATGTGTATTTTAAATTGCCAGAATGGGCAACAGCTCAGAACTGTTGCGATTTTACCTTCTGAACGCGTTGTTGTGTACTTCTGATCAACTGAACAGTTGCGTGTTAGATGATCGTAATATTTTTCTGATCATTTGGGACAACATGTTGCTGTGTACCTTTGAGAGTTTAATTTGACAGTTAATGCATCAAGCCGTTCAGAAGACGCATAACGATCACTGATTTTTTTAGAAACGGTTGCGCTCAACTGCTGCGTCTTCTGAACCTACTCAATACTACTTTTCTGAGGAAATGTTGGGGAATTTCACTTATTTCACAGAAAGAAATTTTTTATGCAATTTGACAGCTTTTTCACGTGATACAGGAATATAATGCTATGCTTTATATTGAAGTAAAAATTTTTCGTCGAAGTACTTTTAACTACAATTAGTATTTTCAATCGATAGTTTGAGCAGCATGGAGCGTTTTTATACTAACAAATTTTTAGGTATTGAGCTTGAGGACGTTTTTTATGAAAACTTATTGTGAAAAAACACAATTTTTCTCTCGGCCAGAATGAGCGAGATTAGGAATCGATTCGAAATGGCACCTTTATTCATGAACTTGAAACATAGATAGTTGATGTGCTATCCTACGTAGATACTTCTTTAAAATTGATGTACATATATCTGCAATTCAAAAGTTAGACTGAAACCAAATGCAATAGAACATTGACCTGCTATTTAGAAATAAATAGGAAAAATCGGAGTGTGAGGGACTTCCATATATTCGGATCAAGAAGGGAAATTCATAGAATATCGCCGAAATTACGTAACGTTAACCCCTGAGTGAATCCGTAGATCAGAAGGGTTCTCAAACACAACAAACACTGCCGCTTGCATGACATTGCGTATAGATAATAAACGGTCTTTTACTACTGCGAATTTTGAACTTTGGCACAAAGTAAAACATTACTCTAAGAAAATTAGATAATGTTATCTAAATGCGCATAAATAACACCGTGCGACAAAAACAAAAAAAATTCAAAACACACGAAAGAATCGATATACTCACGAAGCTATGGGCCAAATATAGTAAAACTGCGTTTTTAGTTTTCGCTCTGACGTCAGGATTTTTTTCAAAGGACTTTGAAATTTCAGAGATATGACTTATTAAAAAAATTATTTAAAAAAAATCAGTGCAATGTAGAAAAACAATATATACCAAATGAGAGAGAAAATTATGAGAAATTTAAAAACAATAGAGTTTTTTGATTTACAAGGACGAATAGGTATTGATGTAAATGCGCTTTTAATAAATTTTATCTCTTTAAGTTAATAAAGTTTGCAGGACGAAGTTCGACGATTACGTCGTGGTTATATTCGTCCTCAAACAATAATTAAAAAAGAAAATATTGCAAATTTCCAAGGAAATTTATGGACAAAATTTGTAAAGAATATGTTCCATACCCATTCGTCTTTATGCCCCAAAAAATTAATTTTTTAGGTGTTTTCTTTTATACGGCACCCTCATTGTTATCCTACATTGCACTGAAATTTAAAAAAAAAATATTAAATAATGATATTTTTTACATTTAAAAGTCCCTTAAAATAAATCCTGACCTCAGAGCGAAAAACTAAGTACGCAGTTTTACTACAATGTCTCCAAATTTTTTTTTGTGTGTATAATTTACTATCGTACGGTGTAACCAGATTCATAAATAAGCGGTATTTGAGTTCAGGGCTACGCTCTTTCGATGCTATTAAGCAACCAGCCATCAATTGTCGCTCGACCACAAATATATTTTATTCATTTATGCGAAACAAATTTCTTTTTGCATCAGATGCAACATCTTAAGATTTAATTACGATTGCAGTTCACGTACATCTACATACGCATACACATACTTATGGATATTTATTTTTAATATCAATTTTTTTTGTTTACTTACAATACAATTCAATTGTGATATTGGTGGCGACATATTTCTTGTGAAAATTACTCGCTTGACACGTGTACACAGCATGTTGGTGAATGCGTGACAAATTTCGCACAACTAATTTGCTGTTTATGTTGCCTTCATATGAGTAATCCACCACACTATTTTGTAGTTGGCCGTTCATAAGCCATGTCACAGTAGGTGGCGGTGAACCTGAAAGTGGAAAAAGGAAGCAAAAAATT